GTTATGAATTACCATCTGTTGTAAGTGGTATGCATGATAGCAAAGATGAATTTGGATACTAAAATCTGGTTATTACAACAAAATTGAACCATTGTTCATCCAAACTTGGTGCTAGATAATCTTATATCAAGCAGAAAAAAACACTAAGTGGCAAGGTTTTTGCAAAACTGTTGAAAGGGCTTGTTTTAGCAGTAAAAGTAAGATCTAATTACTTTACCCCCCCCCCCAACATAAACTTTCAAAGTCCATTGATCATCAAAATCCACTGCCCAATTTAGGCTTCGTTCCAATAACCAAACCTAACTGTTTCTATATCATATCTTTTCTATCATGAAATTGAATAGAGTCTGTTGACCTTGCTCCTTATTTTTGCTTGGAATATCAAGCTATTTATGAAACAAATCTATGTGGCACTGAGGAACAACTTTTGTATCTAAAAGAGGTGAATGTAATTAATATACTCAGCTCTGCAAATTCTCTGAGAGTGACAAGAAGTGAAGGGAAGAGACATTGTAGTTACCCACAAGAGACTGCCCAGTATGACAAAGCTTACCTAGTTTTTTCACATCAAGATCATTTAGCCTACTATACATAGATATTTCCTTTCTTAAGTTTTTGAAGAAGAGAAATTAATGTTATGGTTTCCAGTACCACCGAGCCATGCTGAAGACTTGATAGTTTTTTCAAGATGGCAGAAGGTGAGTCAAATGTGCATAACACTCAAAATGCCACCAATTTGATCTGATAAGAAATATCAAATGGATCATTGAACAATTAAGTCAAGCCTGTAAATATTTAAAATGTTCATCAAAGGTAAAGTAAACCAAATTGACTGTAACTTTTTAATCAAAAAAACAAATGAAAAGATCAACAAGAAACGGTATCAATCACATGCATTTATTTTTGTCTACAAAACAAGTGCTTTGAAAGCTCACAAAGAGATCCTGTTAACTTTTTAACCCATAACAACCATCAGCAATAAATTAGAGCTAAAGCAAACATATAGCTATTTAATCAAACATTTAATGGCTCTACTTAATACAGTTACAACAATCACCATCGGATGAGTGTTTGATGGTGAGGTAAAACACCTTAGTAGCATGATCAATAATTTAACACAAACTTTAAGCTGATCAATTACAGATATTCTGTTAATTGTTTATTTAAGCTTTACCCAAAAACTTGTACATTTTAAAAAAACCCTGACTTACTGGTTTTTATAGTTATTTTAAACTCTGTGGAACAATTAGATCTGACCTCTTAAAGCAAAAACTTTACACTTTGCTACCAAGCTCACTGGTGGCCAGTCTCCCTGATGGCAAGGTGGCTGAGTACCTATACAATTACTGATTGATCAAAGCTGTGATTAATACAAATTTTCTTAAGACAAGTGATCTACATGTAGATTTAGACGTTTGATCAAACATTTAATGGCTCTACTTAATACAGTTACAACAATCCAAATCGGATGAGTGTTTGATGGTGAGGTAAAACACCTTAGTAGCAAGATCAATAATTTAACACAAACTTTAAGCTGATCAATTACAGATATTCTGTTAATTGTTTATTTAAGCTTTACCCAAAAACTTGTATATTTTAAAAAACCCTGACTTACTGGTTTTTATAGTTATTTTAAACTCTGTGGAACAATTGGATCTGACCTCTTAAGAGCAAAAAATTTACACTTTGGTGCCAAGCTCACTGGTGGCCAGTCTCCCTGATGGCAAGGTGGCTGAGTACCTATACAATTACTAATTGATCAAAACTGTGATTAATACAAATTTTCTTAAGACAAGTGATCTACATGTAGCTTTAGACATTTGA